AGAAGGGTGCAACAATGAATGAATGGAATTCCAAAATCTCTGTAGATGTTCATTGAAATGAAAAATAAATAAAATATTAAAAAAAAAAAATCTGTCTCCCCATACCTCAAATCAATATCCATTTTACTTTTTTATTTTTCTCCAGAATTTAAGATTATTCTTGTTAGGTGCTGGCGAGAAGGACTTGTAGCGTGATACTATGAACAAAAGATCTGCACCCTGTTCTATCCTGTGCTATCCTCACACTTCCTGACACACAAGAGCCCATGGTGGCAGTCACCATGTCAAGCCACCTGGTTGAAGGAGACATTTTAAAAAGGTTTAAATACTAATCATCTATGAGTGAGTTTATTAGCTGTACAATGAAAATCTGTGGATTTTGATTGTTACAGCTGTGGACCCTGAGCTCCCCTGCGGACCCTGGGCTCACTCATGGACCCTGGGCTCCCCTGTGGACCCTGAGCTCCCCTGCGGACCCTAGGATTACCTGTGGACTCTGGGCTCCCTCGTGGACCCTGGATTCATCTGTGGACCCTGGGCTCCCCCGTGGACCCTGGGATTACCTGTAGACCCTTAGCTACCCTATGGACCCTGGTCTCCCCCATGGGCCCTGGATTCATATGTGGACCCTGAGCTCACCCGGGGACCCGGATCTCCCCCATGGACCCTAGGATCACCTGTGGACTCTGGGCTCCCCAATGGACCCTGGGCTCACTTGTGGACCCTGGGCTCCCTGTGGACCCTGGGCTCCCTGTGGACCCTGAGCTCCCTGTGGACCCTGGGCTCACCTGTGGATGTGGTCTGCACGGAGGTGTGTCTCTCGCACTTCCACTCTCCTCTGCCGTTGCCCGTGCAGACACACTGCAGCAGGTTCCCCCGACTGTCCTTCTTGCTCCACGTGTCTCCGATCCTGTAGGAAGTCCTGGTGTCCTGATCATTGCATCTATCTGTGTGGGGAAGTATTTAAACATTTAAGTCAAGCTGAGCTAGGCAAATACTCCAAGCAAACTGAAAACAACAATATTTTAACACTTGGTAACCCATTCGGGAGTAACATACTCATATTCAGCAGAAGTGTTGCAGGTGCCAAGCCCCCGAAAGACGTGACTGTCACACTGAATGGTGCTCTATGACTGAATCTAATTTCACTACACTGCCAAGGAATTTTTCCAATTTCTTTCTTGCCTCCTCCTCTTTTTTTCCTCCTTAGTTTTCCCACTGTTCTTTTGCCCAGTCACATTTCCAGGCATTCTAATTATCCACTCTTTCCTTCCCCTGCTTTCTCTCGGTAATTACGGGTCTGGTTTGATCTTCAGAGAGGAACTTTGTTTAGAAATCTAGAAACAATAGGGCCAAACAGGTCTCAAAGGGTCTCTTCCAGTTGCCCCAAAGAAGCTATAAAAAGATAACAGTAGCTCTTTCTTCCTTTGTCCCATAGAAATTCAGGAGCTCCAAAAACAAGGCTCAGAATGCAGGAGGGACAGCAAAGAGGAGTGGCAATGGAGGGGAGCTGTTCCCCTAGAGAGACTGCAACCAATGTTGCAAAACAAAAGGTATATAAGTTGTTGATTTGAAAATGTTTTCTGTAAACTTTGACCCAAACTACAGGGGAAAAGTAGAAAATGAACACAGTGAGTATCAAAGCCTGCAATAGCAGATCTAGGCAGTGTGACTACACTCTCCACACTGGGACCAGTGTTCTAAAAGGCAAATTTTAAAGGAAATCAGAATAATTTTCATTTGCTCAAATACAAAAGTTATATATTGATGCAGGCACTGGAATTTTCCTATTAGCTTATATGATCAAGAGGCTAGGAATGAACATATGCATTGAATTTAGGATGCATTAAATATAGTTATGGGGGGGGGGGAATCAAAGACCTAGCAGTTTCTGTGACATTTCTCACTTCCTCCTAAAGCCCCTTCTATTTCAAAATCACTAACATTTTTTGGACATAGAAATTCCATATGACCCAGCTATTCCACTGCTTGGAATATACCCTGAGAAAATGAAAACTGTGGCACAAACAGAGACTTGTACACCAATGTTCATAGCAGCATTATTCACCAACTCAAGAACATGGAAACAACCCAAATGACCTAAAATGGAATGGATTGAGAAATTATGGTACATTCATACAATGGAATACTACGCAGCACGCAGGAGCAATGATTATGTAAATTACTACCTAACATAGGAGGGACTAGAGAACATTATGCTACGTGAACTAACTCGGTCTCATAAAGACAAATACTGTTTAAGACCATTAGTGTAGAGCATGTACAAGGATCCAAGGAGGGGAGGGGGCTTTTAAATATAGGGTCGCTCAATTTGGTATGTGGAGGGAGGGATTGGTAAATGAAAGGGGAAAGGTCTGGTGTGAAAAACAATGTATATGAAGTTTATAAACCAGTATAAAATAATTTTTTAAAAAAATTACTAACAAAGCAACTTCCTTTGAATTATTCAACATGAGTCTTCCAACAGAAGAATGACATTGCTCCTGTAAAACGTTCATTTGTAACTTGGTTGACATTAATCTAGATGTTTAACTACCTAACACATACATTCTTGACCCTCTTTGCCACTGAACTATAATGGGAATTACAGGATCAGCCTTGTATGTGAAGCAACTGGAAACTGTCACTGGTTTTTTAAATTACTGACTTAGAAGAAAATTGGTCACTGATATTATTATACACATACACCCCCCTCCCCAAGTTACAACAGTACTGCTGTCTTTTCCTTAAGACCTATAGCACGATTTTCAGTATTTTTCTTGAAAATTTAACAAACACTGGTTTGTTGGGATTTTTTTTTTTTTGTGGGGTGGTTAATTGTAGATCACAAACATGTATAATCATTTCTCCTTTCCCCAACATGCTCTTGGATGACTGAGCTAATTTCCAGTTCATCGGGGCACCACTGCATAGCCACGTGACCTTATAAAAAGTGAGCATTCACACAACTGTGTCAAGATGTTTGAGAACTACTTGCTCCCAATATGCAATTAGAAAGGTTTTAAATAATAGATGAAAGTGTGAATTGGACATCTAACTTGTCTTAAGCTAAACTATAACCATAAAGGTTTTAGAAGGCTGATGTTCACAGTAACATTTCAAACACAAAAGGCTAACAAGCTGGCAAATTCCCAGGAAAGATCTGGTTAGAATTGTTATCATTTCAAACAAAAGACTCCAAAAGCCTGACATGAAATTCTTTGTTAGAGAATAATTTAAATTTGGGTAATGGCTATTTTAAGATCCTTAAATATTTCCAGCTAGAGAAAGAAATGAGATTTAAAATATTTAGACTTGATCTTAAATTTTTATTTAAAACATTAACACTTGCTGGTTGTGTTGCTTCAAGAATGTTATGGCTACCATTTGAAAATTTTAAAAACTAAAATGCCTTGAACTATTAAGAGTTTACAACACTCTTAAATAGCCAAGATACCCAGTGTAAGTTCTGTTTAGAAGATGTGAGTAAAAAACAACCAATCTATCCAAACTGTCCTTAACATAGTGTGCACAAGTCATTTTTCACCTAAGAGAAATATTTTGATTTACATTAGTTTTGCATATGAATATGTCATTGTTGTTGCTAAGTGCCATAGAGTTGCATAGCGAGCCTATGAAGGAGAGTCCTCCCTCCAGGTTCATAGGGTTTCTGGAGGCAAGTTATTATGGAAGTGGACGCCACTCCTCCTTCCATGCATATGAATATACCCTATTTAAATGTCAAATATATACAGAAACCTCTTATTTTAGAGACTGGCTGATAAATTTCCATGTCCATTGGGGCCACTTGCCAAAATATGTATTTCCAAGCTACTTTAATGATTTCTTTCCTCTTAATATTTTTTTTAAAATCACACTGATATCTCTGATTGAACATTTGCAACTATTCAAATTCATGCCACATTTGGCATTTGAATACACATTTCTTCTCTCTTACTAGCTACAAGCCAAAATTTTACTGAACTAAGATTGGGTTTCTGCTTGTTTATTTCTGGTAGTCTTCTTTGAGAAGAACAAGTGGTGATGTGATTTTTTTTCTCTACATTCAAATTTCCAAAGCATACTAGAGGCCTGGGTGAGTCCTAAGTGATGTCACATCCCATTTCTCTCTAGGAATCAAGAGAACAATACCCAACAATGCCTTTAGTGTAAAGACCTAGGACGTACTTCTAGAGGTGCAAGTGATGCGCCCACTGCCTTCTCCCAGACACGTGCACTCCACCATCATCCAGCCTTGGTATGGTTTCTCCCAGGTCTCCCCAACGACATAGGAAGTCCCCGCCGCATGATCAAAACATTTCTCAGCTATAGGAGGATTAAAAGGAAAAATAGGGAGAGAAAAAAGGAGGTTATTTTGAATTGTGCTGTCTCCCTGTAATTTCAAGTATAGCATGTAAGCAAATGTACAGCCACATTTTTTTAAGTGGTACCCTGTTCAAAACGAAAGGCACGCCCTATAACTAAGCACACAAGAAGTAACCGAAGCCAAGGAGAGTCCAAGCTGAGTTGGCAGGCAGAAATTCTATTCTCCTAATATGTACATGGACTGCATAGTTTTCGCTAGCTCCAGCTTCTGACCAGCATTTTTTGTCAAAAAAAAACAAAAACAAAAAAACTATGCATCTATGAAGTCTGTGGGAAGACTGAATATGCAAGATTCCAGACGTAATTATGAATGGCCAGTGCCTAGCATGACCAGAAGACTGATTAAAATTTGGATTTCTGGGGGAAACCAAATCAAAATAAAACTCAAACCTTAGAGAATAGTTAGAAAACTGGCTAAAATTTACAGCTAGAAACTTTGGACTCATTCCTATAGAGTTCAACTGAGGATTGAGACCTTAAGAAGCACAAAAGTTTTTATAGTGAAGAAACTACCAAGGTATGAGAGAGCACACTGTTTTGCATTTCTCCCCAGTGCATTCCAATAAAAAATATGCCATCAGTGTCATTTTTTATGTTAGACAACTTATACCTCCTACCAGGCAGGAATCTAGGGTAGGTAAGAGATCAGATTAAATAAACAATGTCTTCCTAAGTCTCTTATTTCTATGAAATTCCTGCTTAGGAGGCATCTCTGAGTGGCCCACATGGTTAAGAACTTGCTTCTTAAACAGAAGGCTGACAATTTGAATCCACCTAGAGGTGCTTTAGAAGAAAGGGCTGGTGATCTACTTATAAAAGGTCACAAACCCTATGCAAGATTGTCCTACTCTCACATGCACGGGGTCACCATGAATCAGAATCAACTCATCAAAGGGATTAGTTTTGGTTTTCTAAATCGTTAAGTCATCTGAAAGGTCATTCCTCTAAAAATATCTATAGCTTAAGTAACATTTCATTATTTGTAATAAAATATTGCTATAATCAGTCTAGAGACTAAGGTGTGCCTGATGCAGGCCAAGGTCTTTGAAATTACTTGCTCTACATCATAGAGCTACACAATGACTAAGGATAACAGAAGAAGAATTGATGCCTTTGAGTTGTAGTGTTGGGTGTTGGAGAAGTGTCTTGAACATACCACAGACCCTCAAGAAAACAAACAGGTTTGTCTTGGAGAGGATGAAACCAACTTTCTCCTTGGAGGCTAGGATTTCAAAGGTCCATCTCACATACTTTGGGCATGTGGCCAGGAGACCCTGATCCTCCTTGGAGAGGGACAGCACAGGAGAGGAAGATTCCAGATAAGATGGATTGATACAGTAACTAGGGCAATCAGGGGAGGTGTATTGGACTCTTTGTGACTCAGTGAGATTGGCTCATGACAGGGCCAACTTCAAAGTTGTTGTTTATCGTTGTGAGTCACAGGCCATTGAATGGCCCATAACAACAACTACAACATTCTTTATTTACTTATTGGATTTCCAATCTCTTTTCTGCCTAGAAGTGATTTGGGCTTCCCCAGTATGAGAGCAATGCATCCCCACTGTCCATCAACCCCAAAGAAGCTTCATACACGTACCTATGGGCTTGCAGGTCCACTCTCCTTTGCCATTACCAAGGCACACACACTCTAACATGTAGTTGCCCGTCTCATGTGGTCTCCTCCAGGTGTCACCAATCTTGTAGGACTGGCCTCCTTCATGGCATCGGTCTGTCCAAGAGACAAAACAAATGTTAGGAGAAAGTGAGATAGAAGAAAATATCACACTCGAGGCAGGCTGGACATGTAGGTTAGCAAACAAAGAGACACAGAAAACAGTAATTCAATCAGAGACAAGGGGAGAAGGTAACTGGTCACTTTTGGTCAGTGCAATTAAATGCCTTGCTGAAGTACAATAGGAAACCACAGAGATAACGGAATAGCAAAGAGGCTGTAAATCCTGGGTCTCCAAAGAGATGCCAAGAAATTCTGTCCTAAAGTAGAAAAGAAAGGCTGATGGCATTGTCTCTGATATTACATAGCAGGTTGTGCCTAAGATTAATTCAGTCAAGAGGTCACACAGAGCATGACACTGTGCTGCTTTGAAGAGGGTGAAGAGTCCACACTTTAACTTAAAGATGTCATTTTGGGCAAAAATAAATAGACATACATGTGTCCTGTGGGGAAATCAGGTACTTTTCTAGGTTATTAAACACAGTAGTACGTACATCCAAAGACTCAACTCTGTGCTAGATTTATAAACACTTGAGAGTTGACAGTAAACTTAAGATACTCCTCAACATTAATACAGGGGAAGCAGATTGATCCTATTCACAGGTGATTTCCTTGGTTTTTTGAAGCCTTGAAAGTAACTTATGCTTAAAGAAGGCTGGGGGGTGGGGGGGGGGAGAGAGCTATATTAACAGAATCCCTTAGAAACTTCTGAATCATACTGGAAAGATTGCCTTAGTGAAACCAGAATGGACGAGATTCAGCCCAGTCCTCCTGGAAACACTCCTAGGCTAATCATTCCTTCTTATTCCAGGGAATAATCTCGATCTGCTTTGGGGTTCTAAACTATGAGTCAGAAAGAAGTTCCTGTGAGATACAAGATGTCTCAATATTGTGTGCAAGAGCAGAGCACACAACGCCTGGTCTACTCTTTATGGCTGTTCCCAGGCAATTCAGATAACTGCACGGCCAGTCTGGCTTGGGCATGCTCAGGTAAGAGGCCAAGTTCTCCAAGCATCTCTTACCAGAATGGAACCACAAGAGGCCCAGCTGGATACACTGTGCATATGCACACACATACTCCCAAACCCACACAGATGAAACATTCACTCCCCTTGCACTCAGACCCATTTTCCAGAAGCACAGCAATCAGTTGGGTCACCACATAGAACACCTAGTTAAAAATCAGGAACAGCCAATCATGGATCATAGTAAGCAGTAGGGGTAGTTATAGAGCAATTAACAGCTTTGACATTTTAGTATGACTTTGAGGAGCACTAATGGGACAATGGTTAAACTCTGAGCTGGTAACAGAAAGGTTCGTGGCTTCCTTGCCGATGACAGCAGTGGAAACCCTGGGAGACAGTGTGACTCTGTTCTATCTATCAAGTTGCTAGAGGTTGGGTTTGGTTTTGGTAAGTGCCACGTTCCAGAACGCCTATGGAATTGGGAAGAGGTGAGAGGTCTTACTTGCAATGGTGCAGCTGATTCTCCCTCGTCCGGCCCCGATGCAGGTACAGTCCCAGATCATGGAGTCTTTAGGACGCTCGTAAGTGTCACCCACCCGGTACATGACTCCAGTGTATTTGTCAAAGCAGGTCTCTTCCGCTGAGGGGAGAAGCAGAGCCCCTGTGAGCCTCACATACGTATAAACGCTTTTTTTTAGTCCATCATCCCATCTAAAGGAAAATTCACCTGGCCATTTCTGGAGCTCACACAGTTCTAAGTGAAAAGGGGAAGACATCGAGGAAGGGGCCTAGGCGTTACCCCAGGCTGTACTCAGAGCCTTGCTTTCAAACTTTGACAAATTCTCAAATTGTCTGTAAATTACATTTTTATTATAAAGAACACAGAAATCTATACTTTGGGGAGGGGGAAGTCATGTAAAGTATTACACTCTGAGTAACTAGATAAAGAATGTTGATTCTGAACTCTGACTCAGGAAATCCAACCAAAGTTCACAGAAAAGCAAACAGTTTGAAGATTCCCCACCTCCCACCTGGCACTAACATTTGTTCATCCTCCTTAGCTCTTTCCCCTTATCTGATCTCCTCTGTGGGGGGACTGCTATAATTTAACAGAAGCCTATCAAAGGTCCTACCGGAATGCCAACTTTGAAGTGGCCAGTGGCTTTGTGCCAGTGGACATATCGCTTTGAAATACAGTGTCCAAAGTATTTTCTGAACCTAAATCTTTAAAGTTGAAGATCTTTACTTTCTAATCCATGAAGACTGTACAAGCAACTTTTTTTTTTGAGAGATAGAGAGGACTCCCAACAGCTTTCATCTTCTCATAACAAAGTTTAAGACTTTAAAACAAAAAGATAACTCTATGAATTCCTGTGGACTTGACGATTTGTTTTAAAGGTCCAGGTACTATTTGGAAAGGAATGATTAACCCTTAAATGCTTATGATGGAGAAATGACTGTTAAGGTTAATGGTTTAAGTACATTGACTTACTAATGCTAAGTGTTAGGAATGCTGGTGGTGTGGATTATAATTGAGCACCAATCTAGAAAGGTTGGAGGTTTGAATCCACCAGCTGGAGAAAGATGGGCATGCCTTCTCCTTTAGTAAATATAGTGAGTCCTGGAAAGCTGATACTGAGTGTCCATAAGCTGGCCATTGAGCCAGGTTTTTGTTTTAAAGCAAAGTTTAATTAATGTTGAAAGGTACTAAGTACCTAGGTCCCCACTTACGTTCGGGTTTACTCTCGCAGTTAAAGCCTCGGCTTCCTCCATAACAGGTACAAACCAAGGCATTGCCCAGGTAGGTTCTCTCCCACTGCTGGTTTATGTGATAGTGCTTCCCATTGTCATAACAACCAGCTGCAAAAATGGGAGGGGAACATAGTTACCATTTCCACTCATGTCCCCCCAAACTCTCTTACACAAATAAAGGGCTAAGTTTGTGTGGCACACGAAGAAAATGAACTTTTCTGAACAACACTAGGAACGCCAAAATGAACGCTACATTAAAATAGAGAAACTATTTACTAAAAGTGCTTACCACAAATTGATGCCCATGAAGATTTAGAAATGGCCTCCCTCCCCCAACTCAGCTAAATGTTATACAGTGATGTCATTTCCATCTGGCCAGAGGTCTACATCAAAGGAGTGGGAACATTTTGGAAAGCAGATAATTGGATTTATATTTTAAAACATGCAAGGCACTTGGGGCTCTTTTGAAGCAAGAAGTCAAGCACTTGAAACAGTTTCCGTTAGCCAAGCTAGGGGAGGGTGTGTCTTTTGAGAAACTGGTAGAGGAATTCCGATCTCTGTTCTCCGTGGAAGGCTCCAGAGAGGCCCCAAAGTCATCTGAACCAATTACGTCTCTGGCAGTTAGGAACAATATAGTCACTTTATCACCCCGTCAAAAAGCACTAACAAATTATTAACAGCAAGGGAAAAGAGTGCAGATCACACCAAATCCCTAGTGGGAAGTGTAAAGCCATGCATCATGTTTGTCTCTGAAAGTCATTCTGCACTTTACAGGCAAGTTTTTTGCTTTTCCTAGAAGGCTCATTTATACGTGTAGATTGATTAAAAAGAAAAAAATTAAAAAGGAAGCAACACCCCTGCAGGAGAACATCAGGGAATCCCTGTCCCACCGTCCCACAAGCTTGCTCAAACTCCTTCCCTAACGAAGCGCCTTTTGTGTCCCCCAGCGGGCTGATCCGGCTGGAGGCGCGCGCAGACTCTCGCCCCGGCGCGCGCGCAAAACTTCAGCCACAACTTTGGCCGGCGCTGGGGTCCCGTCCGCGAGAGCCGCTCTGCGCCCAGGGTTACTCACGCTTGCTCTGGCTGACAGTCACCGGGGCCTGCGGCTGAATGATCTGCTGCGCCTGCCTCTTGCTCTTGGAGGCTCCCGCAGGAGGCACCGTGGTCCCCAGGCACAGGGCGCCCAGCAGCAGCAGCACCAGCCGCCGCCCGGGCCCCGGACCCCCGAGCATCTTGACAGGGGTGGGGAGGGACGCAAGTTTGCCACCAAGTTCGGGTCCCTCTGCCAGCTGCGGGGACGAGTCCCTTCCGGGCGCCTCTGGGGAGGCAGGAGACAGAGGATGGGGCAGGGGACAGGTAGAGAGGGCCGGAGAGGGGCCGGAGAAGTGGTGGCTGGCGCGCGCCCTGTGCCCGCTCGCGCCTGGGGTTCCCGGGCTCGGTGCAGGCTCAGTGGGCGCGGGCGGCCGAGCCCGGGCGCTGGGGGTTTATATGGGACGGTCCCCGGCCGCCCCCCGCGAGGCCCCGGCGCCCGGGAGGAGGGACGCGCTGGCCGCCCCCGCCCCCGCCCCCGCCCCGCGCGCTCCCATTGGCCCGGGCTCCGAGTGACGTCATGGGGGCCCCGGGGTTTCGCCACGAACAAAAGAGATGCTGATGGTCGGCGGGGCGGGGGCCGAGCAACTTTTTTTGGTTTCCTCTACCGTCTCTTAACTTTTCGTGGTGGCGGCCTTGGGGGATGGGGAAGGGCTGCCAGGGGTAGATGGGGGGGAGGATGCGGTGGGGATGGGTGCAGGGAAGAGGTTGCAAAAAAAAAAAAAAAGGGGGTTCTTTTTTTTATGGGGACATTGCATCACCTCTGCAAAACAATGTCTACTTTCTGCCGTGTGTTTTGGGGGAAGGGGAAAAAAAAACCCATAAAATAGCCACCACCTTGCAGCCATCCAGACTCTCCGTGCCGGGGCGGGGCTGGCTTTTTCCTGGTCCCTGTCCGCGCTTCTCTGTACTTGGGGCTCACTTTTTTCGCCTTCAAACTTCTCTCCTAACTCAGTAGCTGCGGAACCTGAGCCCAGGCTGAAAGGTCTAGTGCGCCTGCCTCTTGTTACTGGGGCCCAGGAACAAGGGGGAAGAGAGGGTCCTTCCCTGAGCCCTCCTGAGTCCCAGGAGGAAAAGTCCAGGACGAAGACGACTTTGTTTTTTTCAAATATACAAATATTTTCTTGCCCTTTTCCACCGAAAGTGAGGTCACTTTGGTGAATGACCTGAAAAGTTGGAGCGTTTATGGAGCATGAACTTCGTGCCCTGCTTTGGCCCACGGTGCCCAGAACACAAAGCAGAGATCTAGCTCCGATAACTTCAGAGCCCAGAACCGGCCACTTGGAGCCTTGCTCGCTTACAGTTTCCTCCCAAGGCATCTATTTGGCATTTACTTCTTACAGACAATTTTCATTGGAGAATCCACTCCCCAGCCCCTCTCCCTGCCAGATTGCTTAAATATTTCGATTGTTATCCACCCCCAAGAACTTGGCATGTGTCCACTTGAGATCTCCCAGCCTAGCCCTCGAAACTCTGGTTGGAAACAGAATCTGAGAAATGTCTAGCATTTAGAAACTCTTTACATCTGTTCCTTCCAGGGCGCCCCCCTCCCTGCCAGACAAATACTATAACTTGCTTTTAAAGCACTTCAAAAGAAACATTCTAAGACCTTCTTCAGAAATTCCTTCCTGAAAGACCCAAACTCCAAACTCTGCCTTCTAGTCATGTTAGGAGGGCAGGGATTCTGTATGCTTTGAGACTTTAGGAAAGCTACTAGCCAAATATGTTTAAATGTGCAACGTATTTGCTGTCTTCAAAAGTTTCATCTTCAGTAAGGGGCAATTCTAACTGGATTGTCAGGTTTGGAAGTACTGTAGAATCGCTTCTGACTCACAGTCCTCACAAACTACAGGAGAACCAAATGCTGCCTGTCCCTGACCATCCTGAATAAAATAACCAACCCACTGAAGACACAAAGTTAATATTTGTTTTTGTAGAAGCAAAGAGTTAAACACACACTCACCAGCACACCACAGCAAATAACAGTTTCCTACAAGTAGCTTAAAATAACCTCTTGAGGGATCTTGGTGACCAACATTGCAAGTTGAGAGAGTGCTGTGGGTTTTGCCAAATTTAGTATCCCGTGTGGGGTGAATTCCTGCCCCCCCCCCAATTTATCATCATCACTTGATGAAACAGTTTTCTCTTTCAAATATAAAAAGGCTCCTTGTAAAATGCCTAGCAAATTTCTGGGAAACCGGCTGTTCCTTTCAGAGGGAAGGATACCTGGAAATCAGGGTGTTAGCATGATAAACTGGAAGCCAAAAATGTTCTTAAAATACATAAATGTGGAGGAAAGGAAATATGTGGCGAGAAAAGTATTTTTGTCAACTGAAAGTATGATTGCTTAATAAATTTGCTGTACTCAAAATACATTAATACACATACATATGAGAACGTTGGGGTGGGGAGAGCTCACCTTTTTCTTTTGAAGAAAAGGATATTTTAATTCCACTGATAGAATTCAGTTTCAAAAACTATGATGTGTGTGATGCATTACAAGCAAGAGCATCATGCTGGACAGTATTTTATAGGAATGCTTGGATGTTTACTCTTTAATTTAAAAATTGTTTTCTATTTTGACTTTGAAGCAGATGACTTTTTTTCTTAGTTCTTTTAGCAGGGCTTGCTATGGTATTTCTTTATGGTCAAAATTCCTTGTTACTCTGTCACTCTTTTATCTTTAACAGGAGATATGATTAAGTCCTAAAGATTCCATGACCCTGCTCTAACTCAACTGACAAGCCCAGAACTCAAGATTCCCATAAGATGTCTGAAGCCAATCTTGACAGGGCAGAGTCTTTCTTAGTAAAGTCTGACCCTTCTGTTTGGAGAAAATACCCTTGGATTATTTTTCTTATCTCTATTTAGAAAAGGAACCATGGCCAGAAAGAGCGAATCTATGGAGGCTGGATGCTGGTCTGGCCTGAGCCTGGGAGTGAGGAATCTGGGTGGGGTGAGGAGAAGAAATGCTTTAAAACCAGAACGTGATGCTGGCTGAGCCTATGCTGAATTTAAAAAAAAAATACACGTAAGCGGTGTTATTTAAATAGATACATTGTATGGTATTCCATTTGACCTCTGTAAAATTATTTTTCTAAAAGAAAGTTAAATTATTTAAAAAGAAAGTTAATTGTTTTAAAAAATTAGCATTTCATTATTCTTTCTTACTTTGACCATTTCCTGCTCTTGTTTCAAGAACATTCTCCAAGGCATCACCAGCCCACCAGGAATCCTTGCTTCTTGTTTCTTTTGCAGGAGGAAGTTTGTGTAACAATGCTTTTTCTCTTCTCTAGTGAGTCTTTATTAAGCTTCATATGTGTGTGAGGGCACATGTAAGGGGCAGACACAGAGCTAATCTTCGTTTAGGACTGTGTTGTAGTTTCTTTTGGAGTGATCACAAAACAATTCTAGAGAATCTTCTGAGAGTTTGACCAACTTTCTAATCTTTCAGTAACAGAAAACAGTATATATGGGGGGGGGTTATCTTGATGTTTCCAAGTTGGAGAAGGTTAATGAGAAGCATAAGTAATTATGGAAATCAGAATTGAATTGACCTCATTTGAGTTTCAGATTAGGGTTAAGCACAAAAGGAATTGATTAGATCCAGTCATTTAAAAACAGTTAAAACAATTGAGGAAGTATATTTTAAAGGACATCCCCCCCCCCAGTTGAAAATATCTTTTAAGATTGGCAAACACATTATAGACAACCTTCCAGGTCCTTAAATTCCTTGACTACTGGGCTACTGTGAAACAAAGCCACTTATCTTTGAAAAGCGCTTCTTGACCCTAAAGGTTCCATTCAGAGGAAAGTGGACTGTTTTCTCTAAAAATCCTTTGTCTTTAACTCGATCTTTCCTGCCTGCTGGAGGCGAGGCCATTGACAAGTTGACCTCTGCAACTTTCTTTCAACTGAGTCTGTGGTAACTTTTTCTGTTTCATGGTAGGCTATTGGAAAGTTGGATGGCGATGGATTACGAAAGTTTATGCTTGTCACCTGGATTTCCTCCACCTCTTCTTTAGTCTGAATCTGCCCCATCCTCTTCCCCAGAAAACAGACAAGCTTGCAAAACCGCTGCTCATTAAACACAGGTGTGAGGTGAAAAAATGACCTTCCCCGGGGGTAATGCTCACCGGCAGGATGTCTGAGCAGTGTGCCTGGAATTGACAAGGCAACTGCGTCCAGGGAGAAAATACTTGATCAAGGAGTTAAATTAGGTACAGAAAGCTAACCAGTTTTCATCTAAATAAGCATTTTGTTTATAATTTAATTTTTTTTCAATCAGCACTTTTAAAAAGCTTCATCTATGCCCCTGATTCAGAAGATGAAGCCACTTTTCTCATTAGTGTGATGTAACTCCCACAAGGCTTTGCAAAGGAGGCTAATTCATCTAATATACTGGAACGTACTATTGTGTCGCTGGAATACTTAGTTGAACTAAGCATGCGGTGTGCATCTCACCTCTCCAAGACAGGTAAGAGTTCCTTGGAAAATGTTCCTTTTGTCATATTCTTCTTCTCCCTTTTCCCAACATTACCTTATTTAGTACTAGGGTGCACCAGAAGTTTATTTTGAAAGGCAGGGTTTTTTTCCAAAAAATAAAATTCTTTTCTATCCTTTCAACATTCACATCTTTTAATCATTTCTTTCTCATCCACAGCAAATCATCAGAATTTAGTCAAATGATTTAAACTATGCAACATTCTTTTTTTAAGTAAACTTTTATGCTGATAGTCAATTACTGTGATACAGGTGTTGAATAGAGTTGTTTGTATGTAATTAACTGATGAATTGCAACAAATTAAGGACCTAGCCAACTGAAAAACAAAAATGCATAGAAACAACGTAAGCTTACCTAAATTCATAATGTCTCATTTTCTATGTGAATGTAATATATTCTATCTTTGTTGTCGGTGCAGTTGAACGGACTGAATGGAAGTCTGTTGGGTCCTGAGGTGTTGTGCCATCTGTATAACCTGTGCTGAGTACTCGAGGCCCTCAGTTAAGTAGAATTGTCTGCCTCAATGAACCCTTTCTGACAACATTATTTTCCATTTTGAAACTTTTGTTGGTACCTTATATTTTCACTAAATATGCTAAAATGAAGAGAATTTTGTTTGTTTTGGGAAATAATAGAATTTGATGCAATGACATCCAAAGTATGTAGGACAAAGTCCTTACTTCTAAGGAATCATCCTGTCTTTACTTCTTTCAAGATACATTTGTTTTACTTTTGGAAGTGTCTGGCATTTCCAATGTTCTTTGTCAATCACGTAATTCAAAGGGCCAAGCCTTCTTTGCTTTTCCTTATACATTGTGTAATTTTCACATGCATTAGAGATGATTGAAAATACTCTGGCGTGGGTCAGGTGCACCTTAGTCGCTAAGTGGCCACGGATTTTGAAGAGGTCCTTTGCGGCAAATTTGTCCAATGCCACTTGATTTCTTGACTGCTACTTCCATGAGTATTGGTTGTGGATCCAAGTGAAATGACATCTTTGAAAGCTTTTGTGTTTTCTGTTTACTATAGTGTTGATTATTTTCTAGAGAATTGTTGTGACAATTTTTGTTTTCTTTGAATAGAGACATAATCCATACTCATGTTGATCAGTAAATGCTTCAAGTCTTCTTGACTTCCAGCAAGCAAATTGTATCATCTGTTGATGAGTCTTCCTCCAATTTTGATATTGCATTCTTCATATAGTATAGATTTTGGAATTATTTGCTCAGCATAAAGATTGTGTAAATTTGGTGAGAAGATACAGTTCTAATGCATACCTGTTTTAAATTTTAACCCAATTGTTTCATTAGCTATTTTAATTGAAATGACATGAGCTTTTAAAGTCATTACTAATTTAAAGTTTAAAATCTAAGACACAGATTTGGTATGTAGAATATATTACAAATATTTCAGTCCGAGATAAGAATACGTTGAAATAGACTTTGTTAAATAAGCACTTACTTTGGGCCAGACTCTGTGGAAAGTGCATTCTTTATATGCAATGCTTTCATTCAATCGTCAACAATTTCAAATAAGTACTATTATCCTCTCAGTCTTATGGATGAAGAAACATTCTGAAAAAATCATTTGAATGAAGCTTTTTAAAATTATGAGTTCACATAAGGACAGGCAAAACAGTTGGACAAATAATTTTGTGAACACTATCTTCTTTTTTTAAAAGATATTTCTCTCTCACACACACACACACACATACACACACACACACAGCTGTCTAACTGATGTCCTGCTGTTTTTATATATTCTGTTCATACCCATTCTTCATGGACTGGCTACGCTCAAACACTACAACTATGACAGATACTTTTAATCAGTTGAAGAAGATTGTTATCAAGGTGGGTAATCTTCTCTTGTGCAATCCATCACCTCAGAAGCCCAAGAAAGGATCAGCTGTGAGTCGGTTCCAACTCTACAATACATAACAGCAATAAATGGATAGCTACACACGGTGATAAGTGTTGTGCATAGGTTATTTTAATCCTAAAACAACTGTCAGAGATAGATATTAATAGCTCATTTTACTCTTTGAAGTAGCAAAGGCGCAGAAAGTTTAGAGATGCTTACATTTACACAGCAAAAAAAAAAAACAGCACTATGATTTCAAGCAAGATCTTTGTGACCTCAAAATGTATGCTCTTTTTTTAAAAAATTATTTTTAAAAATTTATTATTATAAACTGTATACTCTTAACCAAAACATGCACAAACCAAACAAACCCGTTGTTCTCAAGTAGACGTCAACTCATACTTACCCGGTAGGATGGAGTAGAAATGCCCCATATGGTTTCCAAGGCTGTCGATCTTCATGGAAACAAACCAGAAGTCTCTCTCCTATGCATAGTAAAGAGGACTGGGGTGGGAGTGGGTCTGCAAAACAATGAAAGGGGTTTTTTTCCAAAGAAAAAAGCAAACTTGGGGGGAGGGGGCACAGGGAGGAAAATGTGCAACAATGAATGACTGGAAATCCAAGTTCTCCATAAACTTTCATTAAAATCTCAATTATAAAAAAAAGACGTCTCTCTCCTGTGGAACAATAGCTCATGAGTTAAATTGCTAACCTTTTAATTAGGAGCTGAGCACTTAATCACTGAACCACCCAGGCTTCCTTCAGAGATTTTCTGCCAAAACCCAGTGGGGGTGAGATACGATTTGATTTCAACTTGATGGCGATGAGTGAGAGAGTGAAGTCATAAGGAATTCAGAAGCATTTTCTGGTGATTATTTTGTTGTTACCTCTGTGGTGTGGTTCATCCTCTGCCCTTCACTGGCTCCTCTGTGCCTTATAAACTGACTTGTTGAACTCCATTCCTCCTCCTCTGCCCATTGGATAGCCACTATTGTTACTCTAAACTTTGCTTTAAAGCATTAGAGCCTCCGATTCCAAAGAAAGACTGCAAATTTCAAGAAGAGAGCAAGAGCCTTTATTAGGAAGCTTAGCCAATGAGAAAAGACAGCAGCAAAGTAGCCTACCTTTTGAGGTTTTCTAAATTCCCTTCCACCCAGTGCCCACTGCAGAGGGAAGAGAAACAAAGCCTACAATAATCTGTAGAACCGAAGCTGGCTCATAATGAAAATAATCTATAGATTGTTCAATAACTAAAACTGTGTTAAATGTCTTATCTGGTGCTGGCTATCACTTCACTCATGTTACAAGCTTTTTAGGGCTTTATCTCTTCTTGTCAGTCCAGACATCCAGATGTCTTTCAGAAAATTGAAGCCTCCTCTGCAAATTCCAAGCATTCCTGTCCTAATTAATAAGATCAGCTTACAATGAATAATTAACATAGGGTTAATTACAAGAAAAGCAGCCCTACTGGTAGAGTGCATAAAACCTTTTGGGCTTCTAGCTGAAAAGAGGGCAGATGGCTGCCCATTAAGATTGACAACCTCAGAACCGCGATGAAGATGAAGCGTCTGCATCAGTCAAACTCCACTTGATAGCAGTAGTTGTTTGACAGTAGTTACAATGAGATTAAATGAGATTAGTACTGCCAACTACCTCCTTTTACTCTGATTTGGTTTTGGATTTTATCCCAAAGATACGTGGTTTAAAACCACCAGCTGCTCCAAGGGAGAAGGATGGGCAATTTCCTCTGATGTGTTTTACTGCCTCTGAAAACCCACTGGAGGGTCAGCTTACTATGTTCCAACTAACACTTCAAACTAAAGCTGGAAAAAGAAATCAGTTTTCCTTCCCTGCTCTTTCTGACTTCAGTGGTCCTGGTGACTACTACCTCCTTCTACAACATACATTCTCAACAGGGACAAGAGTGCTTCCAACATGGCAAACGTTGTTTTGGAAGAGGAGAGAAAGTTTTGAGATGATAGAATTATTTCTGATCTTCTGAAGTTTAACTCTGATTGATAAAATCTTATCCCTTAATTGCTCAGTTCTCTCACTAGGGAGAATGTTAATGACAGTTTTCTCTGGGGGATGTGTGAATTAATAATAATAATAATAATAATAATAATAACAATAATAACACATCACAGCTAAAGGTGAGAAATATTACTCTGGGATAACATCTCCTGCCATGCTGTCCCTCTCTGAGGCTCCAGTCTCACTGGCTTCCCCTCTCTTGGCAGCCCTGGGAGGAATAAGCTTTGCCTGTGGGAGTCTCAACATTCTTTCCTTATTTCTTGGCCACACCCACACCTTTTTGGCGAGCCTTTCAGTCGGGATCATTTGAATTCTGTGCACTGCAGAAACTCTGATAATACAGATCCCAAGAGTCTCTAATCATGGCGCGAGCAGCTTTAGTTAGAAGTATTAGGTGGACCACAGTAAACTGACCCTTCAGTGGGTTTTCAGAAGCAGTAAAACACATTGGAGGAGATTGCCCATCCTTCTCCCATGGAGCATCTGGTGGATTTAAATCCTATATCTTGGGATACCAGCACAGCTTCTTACCACTAGGCTACCAAAGCTGTTTTTTCCAAGCATAACACGGTATCCTATCAAATGAGACAGTGCTTTCTTCTGTGTTTCCCATTTTGTGAATGTTCTCCTTCAATGCTGAATGCATGACCCTCTAATAGAGAAAATCTGACAGTCCCAGCATACAACCTAATGATCATAA